AGAAGAGGTTGTTTCTATGCAATCCATCACACATCAGTGTGTTCTTGAACGTCACCTGAGTTATGTGCAATCTGCTTTAGTTTTTCTGAGTTGTTTTAATTTACCTCAGTTTCAATTATACAACCTAGACCACATTGGATTTTACAGCATCTGGCCTAATTTCATCTAGCTTTTGGTAAAAAATGGCTCTCTATTCATTATTGTTGTAAAAGCACAATGTAATTTTCACATTTCTACTATTCTTTGGAAGTGGAGACTATCTTTTTCTGCTTTCACTGTCTCTTTCTCTTTATACATGTGTTTTTCTGGGTGCATGTTGTTAATATCCTATCACCTATATCTCCCACTGTCTATGGTAAATTCTTGTCTCTTTCTGTGTAGTGTGAGTGTGCATGTATATATGTGCAAGTATAGGCCTGTGTGTATAAAGGATATGGGTGTGTCTCCCATGAGGTATATCTTTGTGTCTGTCAGTGCCTAGGTTGTGACAAATACTTGATGCGTAGATTACAAAAACAAATAAGATATGGTCCTTGCCTTTGAAAATCTCAGGTCTAGCAAAAGTTGCAGAATCATAACTAAATCATGACATTATGATGCAATCATGGAGAGAGGTGTTTATGAAATAGGCAAGTGAAGTGACATATGCAGGGGGTGTTCAGAAAGGCTCCAGAGAGCCGATGCAGTTTAATTTGCATCTTGAAAGGTGAGTGGAAGGACACTGGACAGAAAGAGGAGAAAGAGCACTTCACACAGCAGGTGGGTGTGCAGTCAGGGCACTGTGGATGTGGGCCACATCTTTGGGAACTGAAAGTGATCTAGTCTGGGTAGAGTCAGTTGCTGAGATGAGGCTAACATATCCACCACTCACAAAAAGGCATGCAAAATGGGTTAAAGACTTACATGTACAACCTGAAACCATGAAACTCCTAGAAGAAAGCACAGACATAAAGCTCCTTGACATAGGTCTTGGTAGTAACTTTTTAGATATGACACCTAAAACACAAGCAAAAAAATAAACCATAAACAAGTGGGACTACATCAAACTAAAAAGCTTCTGCATAGCAAAGGAAACCATCAACAAAGTGAAAAGAAAACTTATGGGATGGGAATAAGTATTTGCAAACCATATACTTGATAAGGTTTAATATCCAAAATATATAAGGAACTCATACAATTCAATAGCAGAAAGAAAATAATTTAAAAATGGGCCAAGAACCTGAGTAGATATGTCTCCAAAGAAGATATATGAAAGGTCAACAGGTACATGAAAAGATGCTCAACAGTATGAGTCATTAGGTGAATGCAAATTAAAACCACAATGAAAGCAAAATAACCCAGTCAGAGAAAGATTAAGTATCACATGATCTTACTCATATGTGGAATTTTATGAACCAAATAAATTGATGAACAAAATAGATTCAGAGACATAGAAGCATCGTACAGACTCAAATCTCAGAAGGAAGGCAGGGGTGGGGAGTTGGTGGGTGGGGAGAGATTAACCAGGGAACTTACATGCATAGATGCAATAGTGTGGTGAAAGCCTGGGAGGGGTGGGTGCTGGGTAGAGAGTCAACAGGGAAAAAGAAGGGGACATCTGTAATACTTTCAACAATAAAGATAAGTTAAAAAAAAGAAAAACCACAATGAGACATCACCTCATGCCTTGTTAGAATGGCTATTATCGAAAGACAAGAGACAACAAATGATGGCATGGATGTGGAGAAAGGGTTCATTTCTGCCCTGTTGGTGGAATGTAATTTGGTATAGCTACTATGCAAAACAGTATGGAGGTTCCTCAAAAATAAAAAAAATAAACTACTATAGGATCCAGCAATTTGACTTCTAGAAAATATCCAGAGGAAATAAAAACATTAACTCAAAAAGATATCTACACCCACATGTTTATAGCAGCATTATTTACAATACCCAAGCCAGAGAAATCTAATTGTCTATCAATGAATGGAGATTTTTTTCTAGATTTTTTAAATGATTAAAATATTTTACTATCACAAAATGCCTTCAAAATAAATCACTGAAACATAATCACCAAAAAGAGGAGGGGTTTTCATTTGTCTTTCCCACTAAAGTATCCTCAGTGTTTAGAACAGTGACTGGCACATAGTAATTACTCAATAAAGCTTCACCTGTTCAATGAATTGGTCTGTATTTTGACTCAAACCTGTATTTAACCATTTAGAGGGAAAAATCATCTTGAAAACCCTAAAGAGAGTTACTTATGGTGTTTTCCTCCTTGAAGTTTCTATTGGATTTTACATCCTGGTTTTTCTCCCCTGGGATGATTCAGAGCCATCTGTTTTAGAACCCCAGGCCGGAGCTCTCTGTGCATCTCTTCACTTTGACGGACTTAGAGGTCAGGTTAGCAAATCACACACTTTCATGCGAGCACTCCAAACTCTCTAGAAGCACCCCCAGGTGATGGGAGCATGTGAACATTCAATCGTACCTTAACCAGATTTGAAAATGGTTTGCTTTTAGCACATCTGAAAATATGGACAAACTAGCAGTTCTTCTTAACAATGCTGATAAACAGTAACAAAGCATTTACTTACCAACATCTCTTGCACACCAATATTCTGAAAGCTAAAATCAAACTTGAAAGCCTCTTTGAAAGAATTGGGAGGGCTGCAAAGTGGAGGCTGAATAAGGTCCAGGAAAAAGATACACCTGGAACATAACAGTGTGGATAATGACATGTGATGAGGAAGATTCTTAAAGGTCTATCTTTAAGTATCCATTCAGGTTCTTCCATTCCCCGCCCCTGCCCCCGCCTTTTTTTTTTTTTTTTTTTTTTTTTTACCTTGGGGCAATTATTGGCCTACCTATCCATACTGAGGATTCATGAGAACAGGCTTGATTCGAAGGAACCGCTGAGCTAAAGGTAGTCGATGGTGATGGAAGAAGATTTGACTGTGGGTGGTGGGCACACAATGTACTATACAGATGATGTATCATAGAAGTGTACACTTGAAACCAATAAGGTCAACCAATGAACTTATATGCATATATGCATAACCTATGGATACAGACAATATGGTAGTGAGGGCCTGTGGGGTGGGAGGGTAGGGGGGAGACAGAAGCGGGCTGGAAGAGGTTAATGGGGAGAAAAGGAGGACTATGAAATACTTTTAATTTTATTAACCAATGTTATCCCAATAAATTTAATTAATAATAAGCCAAAAATATTCATGAGGAAAATAAAAATGTATAATTGAACAAAGTGAAAATTATAACAGAGTTAACAGGTGAAAGAAATCCTTCATCAGCTCCTTTGCTTCCAGCTGAAGTGGAAATCCCCACAATAGCTTTTTGTATTTTGTAAACTGGCATTTTCATATATAAGATTTCATTAAACCAAGGCTTGCTTCTCCCTCCCTC